AATAAACCAAATACATACATCTTAACTGATTTATCAGATGTATCATATTAATGCAGTTTTATATACTAAACTAAGTTTTGGACGCAGTTTATTGTTCACAGTCATATGAATGTAATTCCAAAACTTTAAGACGCTGTCTATACGATAATATATCTTTGTTCTTGTTTGTGGTATATTCAGCTGAGAGTTCGTAATATTTGGAACACGTACTGAGTCATTTCTGTTCCACATATTCGGTGTTGATTCACAAAACGAACGAACGATTACTGATATCTCCTTTCAGCCAACTAACTTAACTTTAAAAATTGCTTATCTACCCATCCTATTATTTGGTTGTAAGTAGTCGCACGCATAAATATAGTTAAGCTTTTTTTAGATCCTTTCTCTTACTAAGCTTCACCAACCTTGATTTAGCTAGGTTTCTGTGTTCAGATAGTTCAACTAATCCAGTCGACTACTTTGACTCATATGTTCTAACCCACAATCATTACAGTGGATTTATTACATTGAATTATACTACCCAATTTGAGTGAGATTGTTAGTTTGAAATGTGACTGTAATCCTGGTTTTATTAAGATTTCTTCTTAATGCTTCTGAAATATCTTCCTTGTTTTGATAAAATTGTATATGTTTTGAATTATCTCTTCATAGTAGTAATAATTACTGTTCAAGTATAGAAAGTTATGTGCATTAAGACTAAGGAACCTTACTGAAATAAAGGATCTAGAAAAGGCTTGGATGCATTTGTGCATACAATGACACACAATCACACAATAGGATGGGACTGAGTGACAGTTAGATGGAAGGAGGTATCGATAATCAATAGTTTGTTGATCGAATCACCATTAAATATGTGCAAAAGGAATGAATCAGTACGTGTTCTAATCACAGGGAAGACTCAACCGCATATATCACATAGAACAAGAGATAAACAGAATTATAAAGACCATGTCTGAAACTTGTGGAGTTACCTCGATATGACTATGGACAATAAAATGATATATATATATATATATATATATATATATATATATATATATATATATATATATATATATTTAAAAAAGAGGACTCAGAAACAGATATCGCATTCAGATGCAGATAAATATTTTAGAGAATTCCATACAGAAGTTTGAAGTATCTTCAATTTTAAGCTGATAGAATCTTAGTTTTGATAACAGTATTCTGCAAAAACGTACCCAGAAGTATTGTATCGAATAATATTTCGGAATATTAATCATGCTCATGAGTGTTTTATGCCTGCGTTTTGAAAAAATTCAGTCTTTATTTCACTGTATGTACAAATTTTTATCTAAAATCTAGCCTTGTTTAGCAGTGATAAATGGCTTTGCTGAAACTGCAATACTCTATCTGCTTACATCACAGTTAGTAAGAGGTTCACTGATGTAATCTGAGCTCACCAAGATTAACACTACTCTGCTTACTTTCTCACAGTTCACCTGCGTTTCAAAATTGTTTAAAATTGTTTGTTTTATTTTGTCTTTTAAAGGCAACCGTAAACAATGTTCTATTACAGGTGTAGAACATATTGCATTTTACCATGGGAATGTATAAGTTATTAATAAAATTTGTTCACACAGTATTGCCTACTCACCATTGTATTTTAGCATTGATTCAGATACGAAAGTACAAGATTCCTGCCAAACAGTTACCGCATATTACTGTGAATATAGTCTTTTTGATTATAGCATATTTATAGCTATCTCCAGATCTACACTTTCATAACACCAACAGGCTGCAATAAGTAGACTTCCACCGTTTATTTCGAAAACAAAAATCATTAGATTTGCATATGACTAAAGTGATGAATAAAATATATTGCAATAAACAAGGGCGTCAGACTTTTGAAATTACTTGCGATAAATAATGTCAAGTTTAGATTAAGGGTACTAGACAAGACAGACAAGTTGTTTTATAAAATTTTTTAAACCTTCAACAACTCAGATGTCTGGGACATCTTGTGCATGCCAAGCCACCACCTACCTAGACGCGCAGTGCTAGAAAAGTCGGGTTAGGTTGGGAGAAAGTCAGGGTGACTACACTAAGATTTGGCATCAGTCTATATAGTTGCTGACTGTTGATCTTGGCCGTGTGGATAAGTGTAGACTGCCTGATTGGGATCGTTCAGTCCATAGTAATAAATGGTTGCAGATTCTTGGTGAAATGTCTGAAAATCGGTCACACTAGCACACATGTATTTATTATCTGACGTCTTTTTAAGTTTGATCAATTTCTCTAACTTCCATTTCCAAATATCTTTTTTCTTCACTACACCTTTGTCCATTTCAATATCAATCTCTTTTTGTTCACCTATTCTGTGAATGCTACTGTGAAATATGGTAACTTCAACCAATGCGCTTGTATGCGGTGTTCTACATTGATTTTATCTGTTCTATCTGTTTGGTTATTTCATAATTTTACTTTTCGAGATGTTTTGAACTTCTTTTTGCAAAACGTATGATTTTTATATTCTGGTAATACAGCACTCTGAACAGATGTATATGCATTTCCTTATTCCAGGTTTTATAAGTTCAGAATTGATCCTTGAAACTAAAACTAAACTTAGAATAAGTTCATAAAGACGATTAATTGGTTGTGACAAATCTGTACGTATAATTCATAGTTTCTCGTGGACATATCACTATTAAGCTCGCTAACACCATCAGCTCTAAATTCAGAGTTCATATTTTCATTCATTGCTTCTCTATCGTTAGTATCACGTATATTCTCGACCGTTAGTTTCCCTTCTCTTTAACATACGAAACAAGTTTAACATTTAGGCCTAATAGTACTAGGTATTAAACTGATGTAGCAGATTTCTTAGTGCACATACTATAAAACAGTGTTTCTGAAGTTTCAGTCTATCGATGATGTTTTCTACACATAAAAAATTACACCATTATATAGCTAACTGTTTGTCTAACCTAACAAAACTAACATCTATTAAGTTTTTCTTTGTAGATTTCATCAAACTGGTGTGAACATACCAAGGTTTCTGCAAATCATAAAGCCTTAGTCTATTGGATGCTTAATATATTAAAGATATTTTGTTAGATTCAGTGAATGATTTTGTCACTTATTGTCTGATCTCATTGAAATTACATCAAGATAAGACATTGGAAGGTGATTTCGGTTCATGCTTTTCAGTTACTGATGCTTATTTTCACAGAAAATGACGTAATTCAAAAAGTAGCAGTCAACATTCACTCATTTACTTTCCAGGCATTTTGAAACTGTCAATATACGATCACACTGGTGGTGAATAATGCCAGCTGTTTTATTTTATTTCACGTGATAATAACAATAACTTAATAAATGATTAACAAACGATGTCGAACATGAGGACAAATACTTGGCGACAGCATTGGATGATGGTCACACTACACCACGAAGCGACAGAACTAAGGCAACGTGAACCATTGGATTCCAACCAGCAACTGTCTGATTAACGTGCTCACCATGAAATCTGAGTCCAATCCCTAATGGTTCATGGGTGGCATCTGCTCAGAAGTCCTATACTAGAATGAAACAATTATCCATTGCTTTTAGGTTTTCGGTGATTCTATGACTGGTTTCGACGCATTATGAAGACTACCTTGAAGTCAATCAATCCTCACAAACCTTCGAACTGAAATGAATCAATCGATAAGCAGTTTTTCTCGGCTAACACAAAGCAATAAGATCAGCCTACCGTATGGTGTCTATAGTGTTATCTTAATGCGTCACCTCAGAGTATGGAATAAGGTTTGAAGGCGTATTCCATCAGTTAAAAGGCGACTTCATAATAGGTGTCAAAAATCCCTATATCATTTGACTGTGTAAATACCAGCATCATTTAGTTACTTGAGGAAAATCAGTAAGTGAATGGATAAACCTAAGGAATATGGATATCAGTCGTCCATAAAACTGTTTATTCAGTAAACATCAAACAAACAAAGTACTGTTTTGTTTTTCATTGTATCATGTCCAGAGTGTATCTGTCAAATAACTAACTTGGATGTAAGCATTATTCTCCCTAAAATCTATTGAGTTGAACAAATTGTACAGCTTTTCTCACTAATATATTGGTTGAATTTCAGCGCGATTCATTAATTTAAACAAAAAAAATTAAAACAAGAATCCAGAAGATACAATGATAAATATAAAATTGTGTTGATAAATAATCTCATTATTCTGTAGTTTATTTCTATTAAAAAAGTTAGTGTGATTGCCTGAATAAATTGCTACTCATCGTGAAAAATATTCAGACTTTAATCAAAAATTTTTTAAGTTGGTATTCATCGTAGACTGATATCAGTTGAAGGAACAAAGGAAACCTGGGAGTACTGGACAGCTGTTTCGTCCTACTATGGGACTCCTCAGCAGTGCACACCCACAACCCCGCCAGAGATCGAACCCGCGACCTTCAGGTTTTGTAGCCAGCACGTAACCATTGAGTCACTGGGTCAGAATCCAATGGTCCATATTTCCAACTTCTGTTAGCTCACAATTTTTTTCCAAACTCGAGAAAATTGAATTTATTCTCGTCTTTTTCGAAGTAAATTTCTGTAATTCTTTCTCACTTTGAAACTGAAATTATCATTTTCAAAAATTAAATTACCTTGAGTGTATCGTAGGTAGATTGAACAAAACTTAGATCAAATTAGTAATCAAACTTCTACAATTTAGATTAACTACACTTTACTTAGCACTCTGGATTAAATATATCATAATAAATGAAGAGACTAATTAAAATACGCACAAAGTTGTTCATTTCAGTCAATGTTTGAAAGGAATCGTGAACAGTAATGTCAGTCACGCTACATAAAGCTTACATGGCAACATCCCAGATACCGGAAGTGGTTAACACTGTTGATGACAAGTTAATAAAATTACTTTTCAAACCGTAGATGAATAGTTAGTTTCTTTCGAATTATAATTATGAAGATATTCTGAAAAGTTAAATGATATTGAATTTGTTTGTTTTTTTTTTTATTTAGTACATTGGCTTCATCTGGTCTAAAGATATCTTGTCTATTTAACCAAGCTTTAGCTGTACGTGAACATCCTAATCGAACTGGTAAAATGTCTGTAAGTAACATTTTGACTAAGGAATTGCAAATTTATTAAACTTTTAGCTTACTTTACACTCTTTTTTTAATAACAACTTTTAAATTGAGCTGGTACCATTCACCTTTGTTGATAATTATTTAAATGTGCTGAATTACATGGAACACTACTTGACTGAGTGCGACAGTTTTATGAAATGAACTAAATTCACTAACTATTCAAAACCTAGTTGTTATTTTCTATTACCAACATGAAGTACATGAATTTTTAAATAAAGCTCCAAACGAGTATTCAAACAAATATATTTGAGTTTATGAAAGGGGGACTACGAAAAATCATTGACCGCAGCAGGTTATAAGTCAGGAATGCACTAAAACGAAGTAATTTTGGTATAAATATAAATATATTTGTTTCTTTAATACACTTTCTTTTAGACTAACTAAAAGTTATTTTCATACCTGAAAGCAGATTGAAGGTTTAGAAACCAACATTCTGTCCATTATTCTGCAGTTTAGGAGGGTCGAATAAGTTACTGAAGACTTGTATCTGGACAGTGACCATTGAAAAGCCATGAGTATTAGGCTGTTGTATAGTTTTATCCCAGAAAAACTTTAAGTTTATACGGAGTATAATAGTTTGAGGTGTTGAATAATAACTGCTAAATTTCAACCTAATTCTTGTTTAGTAATCTACCAACCACAAGAAATAAACGTTCTAGTTTCGATTCGCCCTAGAGTCACCGGTGTGTACTGCTTAGGAATATCAAAAAAAACACCGTGGTTTGAAGCATCACGACTGTTCTGTGGTTATCAATGTTTTCCTAGTATTTGTTAGTATTAGGTGAATACACCTCAAAAAAAGTCTTTTTTAGTGTTTTACTAGTAGTTTTCGTTACTCAGTTTGAAAGACATTCACTCACCTGGTTATTTAGATTACCCACTCACCATGTGCTGAAATATGCAACTTTAGAACCTTCAGATCAAAAACGTTAAAGCGATAGATTTTGTGTCTTGTTAAAAAGAACTGACCAATAATAAACTAGCAACGCAATAACCTAATAGTGACTTCAAACTAGGACTCACTTACCGTCAAAAATAACAAAATCCTTTTCACGCTTTCTACATATGTGCATATATGAGTAATGTAGTCCGACTTATTCCAGCTGTTATTTAGATGTGATAACTTGTATAGGTTTCCCTCTCTCAAGAAGCAGTTTCGACAAGTTCACAAAACTTAGATAATTTACTTTCATACTTCACTACGGTTTTACAAATATACTTTGTGAATAAAATACTCACTTAATGTCCAAGTTATGTAGTTCTACCTTGTTGAGTTTTAACCATGGTATCCAAAAAATATTTCTACCATTTACTTTTCACATAATATACAGTGATAAATGTCACTATGGCATGATCTACTAGTCAATATATTATAGTTCAAGTTTATTGATCACTGATATTTTACGAATATTTCAATATGATACTTTTGACTTCTAAAACTGTCATACTTTATCATAAAAAGATTAAAACGCTTTTTTTGTAAGGAGACTACTATGCTATTTATTCAAATTGGGGGTTATAGAAAATATCAGGAAGATAAAGAGAGCACATTGTTCCCCCTCTCTCTGGTGACCAATCAGTGCAGATAACTTAGTTCTAGATTAGGTTAGCCATCATCTGAGTAGATTATTGGTTAAGCTTTTGACTTCAGTACTAATTGTTGCAGACTGAGGTCAACAAGGAGGTCGTTGGTTCGTCATGGTTACAGGCAAAATCTGGCAGATGATTACGAACAACCACAGAATTTGCTACCGATAACCTCGAATAATGTAACATCAATGAAATTGCACCAGGGAGGTGAATCTCATAGCTCTGTAACCACATTACAAAATGATCAATATACTTCAGTAAGCGCTTAGAAGTAGATAACGTGAATTCGTTTACCCAATAGTAAACAACAATGCAGAGCATCTTTATGCCAATCTGTAAAAATTTAATTAGCCAGCGAAATAAAGACAGACACTGTACCTGTTAACATTAAGACAAACTCTTTAGTTGTGGAAACGCATCAGTCTACATAGAAAATAGGTTCTTTTCTTGAATTACAAGTCATATTCACCACATAGAACTCTGATGACTTATTTCAAAGTATGTAGGGAACCGGGATGATAAATAAACCGTATCGTCAAAAAGCAGAATTTATGAGTTGAAAATCCTTGGCTATCCCGTAAACAAACAATGAATACTGTTGAAATCATGACAACACGAGACCTTTATGGAAAATTGGTCTTATCATCATACAGTCAATTCCTTTGTTACACACGAAGAAATCATAGATCATTAGGACCAATACTTTCTAGTACTCTAGTGGGCGCTGCTGATCAGGATGGATGTAAGTAGTATATGTTGAGACAGCGGCAGAAATCATAGGAAATTACCAGCAATGAGTTAAGATTCTGTCCAGAGAAACACAAGAGACAATTTGGGAGTATTTAGCGTAAATCAAGATGAAAGGAGAAGAGCGAATGATGCACATTGTGCAAATGACTGTCTTAGTGGGAGGTGTACAATATTTGATGACTACTATAAAAAGATGTCAGGCATTAACATTCTTTCCTGCCTTTCAGTCTTCTCGTTTCCTACATTAACTCTAAATTGCAAGTTCTTACCTACACCTTTTCTGTCTTACAATAAGAATGCTGGTTCATGCCTAGACTGTTAGATTATTCTGATTATATTCATGTATCGTACTGACACCATCTTTTAAGTGATTTTTGCTAGGGATAAATATAAGACTTTGGATGACAGCGCATTTCGCTTTACCTCTTTATCTTGTCGTAATACGACCAAGAAGACGCAAATGTTGAGTGAGTATTTTTTATTATTCTATCTGGAAGTTTGTGGAGACTTACTGACTTATCTGTTGACTTCAGGTTAGTATTCATTATGAACTGAGGTATATGAGTGATTTATTGATTCCAGGCTGGTATTCATCCTGGACTGATATTAGTTGGATGAACATTGGAAATCTGGAAGCACTGGACTGTTGTTTTGTCCAAGTATGGGGGTCCTCAGCAGTGCACACCCATGATATCACCGGGGATTGAACCCAAGACATTCAGGTTCCAAGGCCAGCACCTTAGAATTAAGCCACTGAGTCGGAATAAAATGGTCCACATTTCCATCCCATGTCACTTCATGATATAGCGCAACCCCCATCCAACGCCATCGTTGAGTAACTGTCCTCACGTTTGTCTTGGTTGGCCACACCGGTCACGGCTCAGTGATAACGTGCTGGTCATGGAATCTGGAGGTTCTGGGATTGGTCGCTAGTGGGGTCATAGGTATGCACTGCTGTGGAGTCCCATATTTGGGAGAAACGACTAGCCAGTACTTCCAGATTTCCATGATGAATACCAGGCTGAAATTAATCAACTCCTCACAAATCTCCAAATTGAAATAATCTGGTAATGTTTGTCTTATTGTATTGCCAAAGTTGTCTCCAAAGCTGATCATTCTGCTTTCATTACCTTCCTTATTATTAAATTCCCTTTATGCCATGTTTGTTCTTCTCTCATTTCTATTTTTCATGTAAAATGTATTAACTAGAAAATTTGTGATCAGACTATTCGAAATCTAGAAATCAAATACATCATATTTTTCGATAAACTACCTTTTCTGATCACGTTATCAGGAATAGCTGCTTTTAAATTATTTTCATTTCCAAGTCAAGCAATACTGAGTAACTTCAGCTTTATTGTTGTCAGTTTAGATTGCGCTTTAATTAAAACAATAGCTAAGGAGTTAAATTGTATTCCCATAAAAATCTCTAGTGTTGGGGGGGGACCTTGTTTCACATATAAATCTGTGTATACAATGAATCAAGTATAAAGGGTAAAAGTAAGATCACAGTATTATTCTCATTGACATAAATTATCACTTATAGGAATCATTATTCGGTCAAAGCAGGTATTTAGTCAATACAAAATATTGTACTGTCGGATATTTATATATAAACAAATAACTAATCAACCTGCTTAGTATAAGACATATCACATAAAATGCAGAAATAAGAAGTTAAGGATGTTTGAAGGTGTCAAGAAGTTTTGTGATTCATATCTGAAAGAATTTAGTGATTACATATTTCGTATTCGATTAGAAGGTAAAACTAATCAAAAACTTTTTCTATGGAAGTATGTTAAACTTTATATTTCGTTTAGTCTCTAAGACTATTAAACTATGCTAAGAGCTAAGTAAAAACAATTTTTATTCACCAATGATGCATTTTTTTTTCTGTTTGACAGTAAAGAAACCAAAAAACTTTTTGACTGAGTGAATCGAAATATAAAATTTATATAATTATAGACCTTTTTAAAAAAGATTTTTAGTGCCAAGCATAAGATAATACTAACGTTGTGCGATTATTGAATCAGGGTGATGAGGAAATATATGTAAGCTATTGAGATTCATTTTTTTATTAATATTATTATTTGTCCCTTGGGTTCCTAGTGGAACAGAGGGCTTCAGTAGCACGTCTCCATTCCACTCTCTTCTCTGCAATCTTTTGAACATGGTTCCACGACAGCCCAGAAGCTCTCATTTCTTCCTCACATGATCTCCTCCATGTCAGCCTGAATTCAGACGCCTAACTCGCCATTTCCCACCTGGGTTCCACTCGAGTGCCTGTCGCGTATATTTGTTGAGAGATAGCTTCTTGGTTGGTTCGTTGCCAGCAAGCCAGCCAGCCAGCCAGCTAGAGTTCCTTGTTGCTTATTATTTCTGGCAATCCATCTGATTTTCAGTAACGAGAGTCAGCAGTTGTTGAGAAACTACAGATATTCATCCACAACTGCCTGCTCTCTTCACTGAAGATCAGATGGATTGCCAGAAATAATAAGCAACAAGGAACTCTGGCTGGCAACGAACCAACCAAGAAGCTATCGCTCAACAGACCAGCAGAAGAAGGAAATGGAGATGGATTGGGCATGCACTAAGAAGACCATTCGGGGATTCATTTCATATTGTAATATTTTAGGCGTACAACCCTTATTTCTGATCTCCTTAAAACTGCTACTAATAGATGTACATAACTTATTTCACTAATCAATCACAATATAGTTTAAGGTTATATCTTATTTTGATCATACTAAGAGTTTGTATGATCACTACATTTTCCCACCAACCAGTAATATAAACACTTACTCAAAGTTAACAAATAAAACAACATATCCATTTAAATATATTGTTCGCTATACTCTTATAATCTTATAAAACAATATCTTTTTATGTATCAAAAGCTTGTGCCTAAATTTAAAGTTATTATTCCACTGGTCAAGCATCTTTCTAAATGATTAGTACTCGAAACATACAATAAAAGAAAGTATACCATAGACTATGAAAAATCCTAATAAACAGCAAGCTAATATCTCATAGGTATTGTCAATAAAGAAGAGTAGAAGCTAGTGTGCCAAAAAATAATATTCCCATGTACCACTGTTTTCTGAATTAATTCCTTTAAACTATACCTGATAATAAAGTAAATAAATTACTGAATAATTTATTTCGTAAGTTCACAGAGATTTATTGATTTCAAGTTGATATTTATCACCGAGTGACACCGTTTGGCAAACCATTGCAAACCAAGAAGCACTGGACAGGTGTTTCATGCTAGTATAGGACTCTTCAACAGTGCACCCATATGACTACACCAGAGATCGAATCCAAGACTTTCATGATTCGTGGCCAGCATGTTACCGCTAAACTAACACATTCGACTTGATTTGCCCCATGAGTAACAAATTCTTGTTAGAACTTCAAGAAATCTCATCTCAAAGTGCATTGCTAACTAGCACTTGACAATAATTCAGTTCGAAATTTTGTAGGGGCTTTATTGGTCTTAAGTTGATATTCATCGAAAACTGACCTCATTTAGAGGACCATTTGAATTGTCCCCTCCTAGTATAGGACTCCTCATTAGTGCGTACCTATGAATATGTTACAACTCTTCTTCATTCTTGAACAATATCTTACATCTCTTAATTGATTGAAGTAGTTTCTACTCATAGATTACCTTATTTTTTATTTGTGCACTCTTTTCATCATTACAGACTATTATTTTTATACGAGATAAAAACTCACGTGGTCAAGAGATATCTGGTTATATCGACTATGCCCATCGTTTAAAAACTGAAGAATTTGTATTATATTTTACAGATAAGAAAAAACTGCTACCAAGACCTGGAGATTTAAGGTAGAACTGTAAAAAAATATATTTTATGTAATTAGTTCTTTTGATTAACTTAAATAACACAGAAAGAAAAGTGTCTGGAAAATGGGACTTTCATCAGCTACCAAAAATTCTAACAAAAACTGTAAAGTCAATATAAAAGACTCATACATATACATCCAGTCGAACTGGACAAATTTGAATGTTCTGGAATGGATAAAAGAAATTTATATATCATACGTCAAAGCTTCATACTTATAGGGAAAACTTTAAGTAATGCAAAAATTCCCATTTAGACATTTAATAAAACAAACAATGTGGGCGAAGAAATATTTCTTTTCAGTTAGTTCCTCATCAATGGCTCTACACTCCGACCGATTCTTGACATGTCAAACTCTCCATACCATGCGACGGCGAAATGGCTAGTACAACTCTTGAAACCATTGCATAAGGAGGTTGTAAAGCATAGCGTCAAAGATACTTTTCACTTTATCGATAAAATAAGAGATTTGAATGTGAATAATAAGTCTATGATATCCTTAGACGTATCATCCCTATTCACAAATGTCCCTCTGATGGAAACAGTGGACTTCATATGTAGCGAACTGGAAAAGAGAAACATAGAAATTGGAATTACGGCATCCACCTTGAAAGAGCTTCTCTTACGATGTACAATGAATGTACACTTTCTCTTCAATAAGGAATTCTATAGACAGTCAGACGGTGTCGCTATGGGGTCACCACTAGGCCCAATCTTAGCGGACTTCTTCTTAGCAAAATTAGAAAATGGCCCTCTGGAAAGCATCATAAGCGGGTTAGAATTTTATTGCCGTTATGTAGATGATACATTCTTGATTGTGAATAATGAGGACGATGCAAGGATCATACTGGATGAATTCAATGGCGTCCATCCAGCAATAACCTTCACTATTGAAACAGAAAGTGACGACAGCATCACCTTCTTAGATGTCCGATTGACAAGGAAGGTGGATGGAACTATAAAAAGAAGTGTGTATCGGAAACCAACGTCAACAGGTCAATACACCCACTTCTTGAGTTTCGTCCCCTTGCAATATAAACGAAATCTCGTTAAATGTTTGGTCCATCGGGCGAGACTCATCTGTTCAGATGATACTTTTGACGAAGAGCTTCAAATTATCCACGATCTACTCAGTAGTAATGGATATCCAGAAACGTTCCTGGCTAAAAATATGAACACATCCAATATGAAAACCAGAATGCCTACAGTCTCCAAGAAACCATTGTTCCTAAGACTACAATTTCGAGGTGACATCATCAGCGAAATTGTGACACAACGCTTAAGAAATGCCATAAGAAGATCATTTAATGCCGCCAAGTTATGTTGTGTTTTCTACAGCCGGCCGATGATGACCACACGAACTAAAGACAGACTCCCTGACTTCTCCTCTTCTATGTGCATTTACCAGTTCAACTGCTCCTGTGGAGCTAGTTACATTGGACGTACAGTTAGGCAAGTCCGTCGTCGAATCGCCGAGCATCATCCTTCATGGCTAAGTAAGGGGGAAACCAGACTGACACGAAGCTCAATACTCTCTCATCTGATTGACACCGGCCACCGAGTTAACATTCATAATGCCTTTAAAGTTATTTATCACATTCCTTCTCACCTCACCCATCCTCTACGAGTCCGTCTTTTACATACAGCAGAAGCCATAGGAATCCACCTACACAAGCCAAGTCTGTGTGTTCAGAAGAGATTCGTACAGCCTCTTTCTTTGCCTTGGCCATCTGTATAGCTCATTTATTACAACAAGACTCTTCATTTCATCCACCACACAATTCACTATAACTAATATTTCAATAGCTCCATTATTATTATTATTATTATTATTATTATTATTATTATTATTATTATTATTATTACAGACTTAACCATCTTTCTCTCCCCCTACTGTCTCTAATTACCGTCAACAATTTACCATTTTACGTAACAGTTCATTTTTGCTCTTTAGTTATCATTATATAAAATATCAATTATGTAAGAACCTGTTCACAAAATCTTTCTACGATAATTAATCTTTGCTTTAGTTAACTGTCTTAATTACCTGATCAATTATCACCTTCTTGATACTTTGAGATTGATAACCTTTCATTGAACAACTCTCACCACTAGATTGGTATGTAATTTTACGTTTGAAAATGCTATATTAGTGTAGAGCCATTGATGAGGAACTAATTGAAAAGAAATATTTCTTCGCTCACATTGTTTGTTTTACTAAAACTTTAAGTACATATGTAAGGGATGAGTAAGGCAAACGGAATATACAAACAATGGCAATTATGGAACTCATGAACAACAGTAATTCATGACTTGAAAAGGTTTAGAGATGGAAAAATTACAATGTAAAAGAGATTGGAGAGGTTTTGTGTTCAATAGTCATTTTAGACCAAGGCAACGTGAGGTTGACTACTGTTTCTTTTAAACATACATATGCTCGGAGGCGATGGCTTCAGCAAACCATGGTGTACTTGAAGTGCCCTGTCTGTTTGATGATTTTGAAGTCTCCTGATGTGTGAATCACACTCCTTCTATGTCCTTCATATAACGAGCTTTTGTACTAGTACAAGGACCATGGCTCCTAAGATTCAGTATGCAATATGCATAGTCACCTTGTCCACTTTTAACTGAGTTATTAACCATGGTTCTTGATATAATCTCATCAAAGTTACAGCTAGGTCGCTGAGTGGCGTGGCACTTATTAGTCATTTTTTTATTCTGTCCACTGTGTTATTTTAATTGAAATCTGGTTTCAAGAAAATTGACTTATTTTACATGTAGCTTTGTCCCTATCTCCCGTTGTCCGTGCAATATTTCATAGGCTGCCTAATTTCTAGCTTTATTTTCACTTGGAGCTTCTCGTTATGGCATATTCTCTCCCTTTTTATGTATAGCGTTCTTACTCTTTGGTTGATTATATATTTATTTAGGCTGTATGCAGTTGATGAAGATCTTGTAAACTCAAACAATGTCACCTAATTCTGAAAATCATATTTTGATTGCATAATTTAATTTCTGTGTTTACATTTCTTCCTTTTTATTTTCAATACAGTTGTGTTATTTATCCTACTAAGAAGTATATCAATATAATTGGTAATATCTATTCATTTGCAAGACTTATTCGATAAGCATTTGCTGCGATAGTGAACCTCTTAATATATGAACAAAATGAGAAAACGAGAACAAAGCATGTTGCTATCGTGATGTAGCACATTCTTGATGGTTAGTTCACTCAGATGCATTGAAAAACAAGCCAGTGAACTTATTCATATTTCACTTCACCGAATTAGTGCTGAAAGCATAAGGCTAGTGGTTAGAAGCGGCTAGTTGAAATGCGATTAAGATCCTGAATTCATTCCTGTATTATCGCTAAGCTCAATTAGATGACAGGGTTTTTCCTTCAGCACTATCCTCAACCAGCTTATAAGTGACTGACTATTTTTTCTTTGCCTACTTTTATTCAATTTGAGTTGAGATAGATGTGGTTCAGTAATTCGTTAACTAGTAAACAATCCTACTTCTGATTTAATGACTTGGTATTTCTTGTTATATATTGGCTTAGAGTAAACTGATCGGCCATTGTTGACAATATGTTCTAGTGCTGATGTCTCGATATACCTAGTGGTTTCATTTCGACTCTTAGGATGATTAGTTTGATCAAAGCTAATCAATAACGAGCAACAAATCTCTGAACATCAAACTATACCTATTGTACAAGAAGTGGCTATTGTAATTTAATAAGGCTCTGGTACTTGGTATACTAGATGTGGGGTTCAATTCCTAGTGGGAACACTATTATTCACAATGATGAATATACTCATTTATAAAGATTCTTAAATAAAACAAAACGTGACTGCTGAATCCCACCGCTAGTTGCTATTCAACCTTAATATAAAAAAATATTTTCTGACTAAAAGAAGATCGTAATCCAGTCAGTGGCTGGCTTTTTCAACTCATCATATTAGAAATCATACTGATTCTTTTCACGAAAAATAGTCCTGAAATGGGTCAAATGATCAGGTAGGTAGTTTTCCGGTTATCTTAGTAACATGGTTTTTAGTTCAGGTGTCCCCTAGAACGTATTATTATCATTATTATTACTGTTTGTCCCTTGGGTTCCTAGTGGAACAGAGGGCTTCAGTAGCACGTCTCCATTCCACTCTCTTCTCTGCAATCTTTTGAACATGGTTCCACGACAGCCCAGAAGCTCTCATTTCTTCCTCACATGATCTCCTCCATGTCAGCCTGAATTCAGACGCCTAACTCGCCATTTCCCATCTGGGTTCCACTCGAGTGCCTGTCGCGTATATTTGTTGAGAGATAGCTTCTTGGTTGGTTCGTTGCCAGCAAGCCAGCCAGCCAGCCAGCTAGAGTTCCTTGTTGCTTATTATTTCTGGCAATCCATCTGATTTTCAGTAACGAGAGTAGGCAGTTGTTGATGAATATCTGTAGTTTGTCGGGAATGTCTTTCGTAACGCGCCAAGTCTCTGAGCCATACAGATGCACTGACTTGACCGGCATTAGTGTTGAAAATCCGGATGTTGTTCACGCTTTATGCTGAGTGCAGAAGATCTCCACACTGGTTTCAGGCTAATGAACGCCTGTCTTGCTTTTCCGACCCTGACTTGGACGTCCTCATCTGTGCCGCCTGTAGGTGAGACGGTGCTGCCTAGATAGGTGAAAGAGGCTACTTCCTTTAAGTTTCTCCCGTTGATGGTGATTGGAGCTTGTTGTTGGTGGTGGTAGTGTTGGTGGCGTTAGTTGAGTATCTTCATCACCTCTCTCTTCTCTACGTCCACTTGAAGTCCGGTCTTCGCTGCCCTGCCCTGCCTCTCCTGTCAACTTGTTAGTTTTTGCCTGCAGATCTTCGAGTTTGTGTGACATCAGACACAAGTCATCGGCGAAATCCAAATCTTCTAGGTTCTTTTCGCCAGTCCACCTTATCCTCCTCTTCTCGCTGCTCACGGTTTGCTCCTTGATCCAGTCCACCACAGTCAGGAAGATTATGGGTGATAGTAGACAGCCTTGTCTTACTCCTGTCTTCACTTCAAAGGCATCACTGAGCTTCCCATTGTGAATTACTTGGCATGTAGCGTCTTCATATAGTTGTTGAATGAGATTGATAAAGGTTTCTGGTATTCCGTAGTGTTGAAGCAGTTGCCAAATTACTTGTGGGTCGACACTGTCAAAGTCAATGAAGTTGAGATAGAGAGTTGACTACCAGTCTACTAATGCTTAATGTTACTTATTCTAATTACGTCGAATTCATATAATTGAGGATTTAAATTTTCTAAGTGGCGCCTGTATTCATATCTCTATGTTCAATTGAGGAAATCAGGCGGCAATAAAGAATACAGAACAATAAATAACCTTAACGCGTTTACTTCAAAATGTATGACAATGCAGTTATCCATAATTTCTACTACTTATTTATTCAATAGTCAGTCATAAGTTGGCTAGGTAGAAAATTTCTGCATTTACTTATTTATAACCAACAAAATAAATATCAATTTTTTCTATTTCAAAGTTCATCACCTATAATTTAACACGATTAGACGAATATAATTGATGAATTTTACATACAATAAATGGAACTTAAAATCATCATCTTAAGCTGATATCATTTGTTTAAAACAAAAGAAAAATTAAAAAACGATATCATCTAATTATGCACATTTATGTATATTTATTAATTATCAGTTTCTATAATTGGGAAACTCAAAATGTTGTGGCTACTTCATCAGCAAATTATACTGTCATAACAGAAAATGCAAATGGATTACTGTTTAAGAATAAACGTGATAGAAAAATTATAAATGTTGATCCAACTGTAAGTTATCCTTTAATATATTGTGTATAGTCTTGTACTAATTGATGAAGTATACTTCACTTGATTGCTGATATTGCTTATTGTTCAGATATTGATTGTGTACACTCAATCATTACATGAACTACTCTTAGCACATTGAAAGATCCACTGGATACTGATATTACTTGGTAATAAGGACTTTTGAAATTTAGTATCATTGAAGAGTAACTGATATAAAACATTAGTTTATTGATCCCTAAAATGGTGACTTGTTGATAATTTTATGAAGAATTAATCCTTACTTAACCAATAACAACCTATAACCAATTGACAGAAGCAGGAAATTGTGAATTATTAAACTCCAACACAGTGACTGAACGGTGATGCACTCGATGGATTACCTGAAGGTACTGTCGTTGGTCCCCTGGTAAAGTCATGGGTGTGCATTGCTGAGGAGTCTCATGGTGAGACGAAACAATTTTCCAGTGCTATCATGGTTTTCGATGGTTCTCAAACTAATGTCAGTCCGTGATAAACACTACATTGAAATAAAAGATTATCACTACCAACAATATTATATTATTTGTCTCTTGGGTTCCTAGTGGAACAGAGGGCTTCAGCAGCACATCTCCACTGGCTCTGTTCTCTGCAGTCTTTTAGACCTGGCTTCACGACTGCCCACAAGCTTTTATTTCCTCCTCACACCATCTCCTCCATGTCACCCTCGGACGATCAACTTGTCGTTTCCTCTTTGGATTCCACTCGTGGGCCTGGCATTTGATATCACAGAATGGTTTTCTCAGTGTATCCCTAATCCGTCTCCACCTTCTGCATATTTGTTGGGCGATAGGTTTTTGGTTGGTTCGTTGCCAGACAGAGTTCCTTGTTGCTTATTCTTATTATTCTGGCCATCTGATCTTCAGTATCAAGTGAACGAAGGCAGCTGTTGACGAGGCATGTCTATAGTTTGTTGGAAATGCTTTTCGCAGCGCGCCAAGTTTCTGAACTATATAGACTACCAAGAATAGATAACACTTATTGTTTACTCAACGAAAAATCGTTTCACACGTAGCGTAGATATCGTGATTAGAGTACATACACCATATGTCACATATGTTCGATAATATAGTTTAAAACGTATCGCAGTACTTCAGATGTATTCCCTCATCTTCTTGAAACTATTAAACATTTCATCATTCCACATTTATTTCTTTTTTCGCCAGTGATGTTATTTCAACTTTTATTTGGAGTTTAACATTTTTGTTCTAATCTTTTTTTGCTTGAAAGTGAAACAACTTTGAACATTCATAAGTTATCATTGTAGAGCAAGATAAAGCATGCCTCTTTTGAGATACGAGGTAGTGAAATTGATATTATTGTTGAAAGTGAATGTTTTTCCCTTCTAACATTTAGGCTGCTTCACCTGGTGACAATTCAAAGAGGACAATTATTGAAACTGATAAATATCTTCAAGTTGTTATCTACGATCATATAACAAGGAGGAAATCTTGAATATATACAGATATGTACAAAAATATATCAAAAGATGCATTTCTTTATCTTTTTTCATCGTTCATACGGTATAATTTTGATGAAGAAAGTATCAAGACAACTGATTAGTGTGTATTTCAAAAATGACTTGTAAGCTAGATCCAATTTAAGTTAGTACAGTACAATACTGGAAATTGAATTTGGATGTTTGTGGGGATTTAGTGATTTTTCAAGTTGGATTCATCATGGACTGACATCAGTCGGAGGAATATTGAGAACCTGGGAGGACTGGGCAGTTATTTCGTCTTAGTATGGGACTCCTTAGCAGTAGGCACCCAGGACCTCACCATGGATGTAACCTAGTGACCGTGAAGACAAATAACTCAACGATGACATTGGGTGATGGTTGTGCTATATCATGAACTGACAGATGAAAATATGAACGGTTGGATCCCGACCCAGTGGTTCAGTGGTAACGCGCTGGCCACGGAACCTGAATGTTCTGAATCCGATCCTTGGTGGGATCATGGTTGTGCACTGCTGAGGAGTCCCATGCTAGGACGAAACAGCTGTCCAGTGCCCCCAAGTTTCCAATGTTCCTACAAATGATGAATACCAACTTGAAGAATCTTATACTGGTAACTTTCTTATTTACTTCCAGTACTTACGTATACAAACAAGTATAGAAGAATAAAATGCATTAACGATAGTTGAAGTGGTTGTCTCTATGCTTTTTTATTTTTTTCATCATCAAAGTGAATATTTTAATCAAGAGGTAACTAAGTGAATTTAAAGAATGCAGAAGTTTGTACAGTTTTCAATAATCAAAAAATTTCATTGGTGGTAATCAAAGAAAAATGATAAAATATTGAAGGTAAAGTAGCTAGACAGAAATAAAAGGTAGTAGAATGTCGATTTTTGAGTGTAAGATCAAGTTATCAGAATCCTTTTGTGCACTAACAATTGGTAATTACAGCTATTCAGAGACTTTTAGATACAAGGCTAAGACCCAGTCATACTGTATTACATCAATATTTTAGAAGTCTATAAACCTTATGCACTGTTTTGATTTGACGAGACTAAAGTAACTCAAAACTCTCTACTTTTGTGGATGATATTTTAAAACTTGATGAACATTAGACCAGGCATACGTAGTGCTTTTCTGGCCACCTCAATTAGTCCGACTCCATGTATTTTACTAGCCAGACTAAATTAAGCCCCATTCCGTCGTTTCGTTCGTTTCCAGTAGAGCTTATTAGTGGTCTCCTTTCAGCTCAAAAAGCCGAATGCTCAGACCACACGAATTCCAACCAGTTGCTTGGGCTGACTGGACCGTGCCTAGAATCAGTTTAAGTGTTTCCAAAATATAAAATCGATGATAAGAAATCCCAACAAAGTTTCATATAGAAATCAAAATATTCACATTTAATCATGTGATCAGACTAGTGAGCTAGATGATGTCATTGTTCTAGAGATATTCATGCTAGCGATCCCCATGCCAATTGTGATGTCAAGTAAATCAAATTAGTTGACCTAAATCTTTTGTTACCATGAGAAACCATGGTGAGATTACCCACGTGATCTGTGTATTTCCCATGCATTACAATCTTCAAACGTTTTTGTCAATTTGGCAGACGTAAAGTTGTTCAAAGTCCTAATTTCCTTCGTCATTAGGGTCCGTTCAAACCACTTAAAGCGAGTGAGATCAAGGCATTTAGGTATAACTGAAGCACTAGCAACTTAAAAGTTCAAACCCACACTATATGTCCAGTAACGGTACATTCAACCTTTGTCTTTACCATAGGCATCACAAAGCATTGGTTATCCCCGATAAGTCCTGTATTACGTAGTTGTATTTTTTATTTTTTTAATATCTTATTTATTTTCCTACTCTTAGCTATCACTACCCACTGTAACGCATGTACAGCATAGTAAAAGTCTTCATCGGAAAGAAAACTCCTTCGTTCCAACCATTCTTTTTGTCTTTTACTACTATCAAATGGGTATATTTCGAGGTTTATATTGTGCAAAATATTCGTTAACTGTAGGTCATATGACATGTATTATAAATCTGTCAAAGAATAGAAAGTCAGGAATTTAGAAATTTCTGATAGAAACGTTCATGTTCATAAAGATTTCTACAATAATACGGAATAGAAATGATGACGATGAGAACTGATAAGAGAATATAGTTAACTTATCTGAAAACTCTTCATAAGTGTGTTTATGAATAAAAAAGAACCTAAAAATATATTACGTGCCTATTTAGAATGTCACAATAACGCAGCAGCAATAGTGTAAGAAAACGGTAAAGGATGAAACGCAGAAGAATGTTTATTATGACACTTTGTACATTACTCATGAAATAGTGTAACCTTTCCATTGGAATGTCCATTTGCACAATATGTTTCATTTCCTCTTCTTCTTCTATCTCGTTTCGCTCTTGATACCCTCACGTTATTTCTTGTGTTTCTGTGTGCAGAACTAGTAATTGTCTTTGACTTCTGGCAACTTCTCAACATATACGACTTATATGTATTCGGCGCCAAAAAAATTAAGCGATTGAGAGAAGCACTACCCCCCAAAGGGGTACATTAAATTCCAACATCTTCAACTGATTACTTAAATACCAATGACATGAAATGCATTGGCAGTCTTTGTAAAAAGGTCATCTACAGCATTTCTGTTGTCTTTATATCAGTGGCATCCCATAAACACAGACTATTTATAGAACATAATTAGAAGACGCATTTTGCCTGACAAAACTAATGTTCCCCAATTAATGCCATCCCTGAGGAATACCAAGTTTAAATCGATGAATCCCGACAAGCCTTCAGATCAAGTTCCTATGTAGTGCTGACCAGCGATTTGCTTCACGATCAGATATCCTAAAGCTCTGGTGAGAAGACGTGACCGATGGGATAAACTAAGTGGGACGTGCCGACAAATACTTGACGACGACATTGGATAGAAGCCGCGCTACATTGCGTAACGACAGAAGTATTAAAATATGTATTGTTCAACTCTGGTCCAGTGGGTTAATAGTAACGTGCTCACTAAAAAATCTGAAATTCCTGAGGTCGATCTCTAATGGGGATAGCACAGTAGCTTGAAGCAGCTTCCCAGTGATTCCAGATTTTCAATGGTACTCCAAATGATGTCAGTACTTGATGAATACCAACTTAAAATCTAGTTCATTTGCACTATACATTTCAAACAATCTTCATTTTTATATTTCATTGGACTGACTTCCTTCTATCTCCAGGTCTCATATAAAATACCTTCAGAAGTAAATGTATGATCAGATTGTTCGTATTATATGACAAAACTACATCAGATTTTCGAGATAAACTACATCATCTAATTATTTTATTCAAATTCACATAAGAGATTAGTTGTTTTAAACACAGAATAGCATTGAATGCAGCCTTTAGTTAGTTGGTCTGGGTTTGTTAGATGGGTAGACTTCTACAAAGCTTTTTCGACCGATTCATCTTAGTGATTATTTGCTACGTTTTTCAGTTGTGTTCTCATAATCCCGTCATTATCTAATGCTTACAATTAACAGCCCCACATATTCACCAAACACAATCGAAGCTTCATCAGTTGATGACAAAAAAGTAGAGGCTATCAAAAATTCACTTGTTCCAAATTTTACTGTAAAATCTGAGTGCATAAAAATACTAACCCATAAACTTAGGCACCAATTCTGCTGTATTATTGAGAAAATGCAGTTATCAGATTACATAGTTTTGCGATATATTTCATATAACTGTTTTCGTTGCCGTAATAAACATTAGAAAAGTAAGCTGAATTTAAGACTTTAACTGTAAATTAATCTCTAGCATGATCTCCTCCATGTTACCCTCGGACACCCAACTCATCGTTTCCTATTTCGGTTCCACTCAAGAGACTGACCTGACCCGTAGTGTCTCCAAACGGTCTTCTCAGTATATTTCCAATCCAATCCATCTCCACTTTCTTCCGCATATTTATTGCGCAATAGGTTCTTGGTTGGTTCGTTGCCAGGCCAGAGTTCCTTGTTACTTATTCTTCCTGGCCATCTGATCTTTAGTATCGAGCGTAAGCGGCAGCTGTTGATGTATGTCTGTAGTTTGCTGGAAATGCTTTTCGTAACCCGCCGAGTCTCTCGACCATCACGTACAAGCACTGACTTGACATTACTGTTGAAAATCCGGATCTTGTTCGCGCTTTATGCTGAGTATAGTGCAGTGCAGTAGACCTCCGCACAGACTTCAGATTAATGAGGGTCTTTCTTGCTTTTCCAATCCTGGCTTGAATATCCTCATCTGTGCCGAACGGTGAGAGAGACAACTTCCCTCAGATTTCCCCCTTTGATGGTGATTGGTGGTGGTGCTGGTGGTTGGGTATCTTCATCACCTATATCTTCTTTACATTCACCTGAAGTCCCGTCTTCGCCTCCTCACCACTTCAGCCAACTTGTTAGTTTTTACGCTTGTAGATCTTCGAGTCTGTGTGACATTAGATATAGATCATCGGCGAAATCCAAATCTTCCAGGGTCTTTTCATCGGTCCAATCAGCGTATGCCCATCTTCTCGCTACTGTAAACGCCCTACAAAAGCAATGCCATTTATGAATACCAAGCTTAAGATTGGAAGGCAGATAGTGGAATTTGTTTGTAGATGATAAAATAAGAATGTTAACTGTTTGATATCCACCCAACTTTATTACTTATTCGTGGATGTTTCATTAGCTGTTCCAGTCGTATCATTAGAACTGAACTTATAAAACGATTGTTGATTAAAAATAAATCCAAATGACAAATCAGAAAATCGGATACAAATAAAGAGATAAGATTTTTTTTCCTTATAGAAATGATTACTAAGTGTTGGGACAAATCGAAAACAAATGTAACAACTAATATGGACTGAAAACAATTTTCTCAATCGATTATCAAAATTCAGATTGGTTCATTCAAGTCTAATCCAAATTTAGAGAAATTAACAGAAGTTTCTGGGGGTACAATCCATTGTTTTTCAGGAGAAACAGGGTCTTGAATTACATCCTCCGGATACACAGTAGGCTTATTTAATTTGATAAAGTCATTAGACGTCTTCCAAAATCGAAAAAGAAGGTAAGCTGATAAAAGTGCTATAAACAATCCAGGAAAAATGAAAACTAGTCCAAAAACAAAAAACAAGTCTTTATTCGTCCTGTCAAATGTATACGGACGTCCGAAAAAAATAAATAAAAATCCAGTTAGAAAGACAACGCAACCTACACAAAACAGTTTGTAAGTGTTTTTTAAACTTTTATAATTTCTTAGTTCCTCCGAATCTTCGTTTTCAATCATAGTGGAGTAAGCCTTTTGATGCTAACCAAGAACACTTGGTTTTTAGTGTTCAAAGATCAATAAAACGTCAAATCTGATCAAAAAACAATCTGAAATAAAACAAAAGAAACACTGAGCTGACATATTCAACGTTAAAGTTTTCATGATGGGTTGATATCACTTAAGGAACTAGTTCAGACCTGGGAAACTGAACAACTAGTTCGTCGCATCACGGAACTCCTAGTCATTGTGCCCACCAGACCCCTTGAGGGATCAAGCCAGAGACCTTCAGCCACTAAATGAAACTCTAATGACCAGGCAATATAACAGGTCTACAGGGGAGGGAAAATGCACAACGTTGGATTTCAACCCAGTGGTTGAATGGTCACGTGCTTGCCGCGAAATCTAACGGTTATTGGCTTGATCCTCTACGAGGTCGCGGATTTACACCGTTGAGGAGTCCTATACTAGGACGAAACGGATGTCCAGTGGTTCGTTAGGTGATATCATTCTGTGGTGAAAACTGCCATAAAGTTTATCAATCCCCTAAAATCATAAGCTGAATATTTAATAAAACATTTTCGATGGGCTGAAAATGAACATAATTACATATCCGCTTCTGCTAATCAGTGTAATATATTTCTTCTTAGGGATTTCATCGATATTTCTGAGGCCAAAACATTTCATTTACAAACAACACTAGCATGTTCATTGCAAGGAAACCTATATTACTCCAAGATATTGCTAAGATTTAATTAAATGATTATTGTATCCCTAACTAAGTAAAATAGTTCAGGTCAAATAAACAGTAAAAAATAATGTTGAGTACTATACATACTAAAAAGCTTTCGGTCTCAAAGTTAGACTAGTTAAAGAGTGAGTTACATGAGGCATTATAAAGTCATGATCCGCTGACAAGTTTAAGGTCAAGTATGACAGTCATAACAGTATGAGAAATTTCATGCGTTTCACGCATTGTGTTAAATTTGGATGAAGTAAGAAAGACAAAATTAACAGAATATGACGATATCATTTTATGCCACGAGCGCTCTTTAGCTGCTTACAGCCTAAAAGTGCAATGTTTGTAAGGATATTATAAGAAACTCCAAAATTAGAAGACCAATAATCTAAAATTTAGCAACAAAATCATTGATAATCTATATAACATGTAAGAGAATTAATTGTACGGAGGTAAGAGATGTAAGAAAGGGAAATCAATTATAAATAAATAAAAAGCTATTGAATCAAAATGAAGCATGTTCGAATCGTAATCACTAAAGGAGTGAGAGATTAACCACACTATCCTCATGTATGCAAATGTCAGGTTTAAAGCGTTTTATTGCAGTCGCTTCAGCGAAACCCAGTAATCCATTTTCTTTATGTTAGTTATTTTAAAAGCACTTGCGGCTTTAAACTGATGTCCTGCGTCAACGAGGTGTTTGGTGGTATATATATATATATATATATATATATATATATATATATATATATACTGTTAATTTAAGATGCTGGGACAAAAAGTTAACCTAGTTGTAGTATATCGAGGCCCTGAATGTGAGGCAGATGACTTCCTCCTTAATAGGCCGACTCTCTGAACAGAAAGTTGCCATTTCCTGAAAGTAGGAGGCTTAGACACACCATTAATTGACTGGAGCAGACCAGCAGGAGAAGCATCACGTAATTCCTTTGATCATTGATAAATTGAAACATCAGTTTCTTTAGAATTCACATAGCACATTAGGGCAGCAATTGAATACGATCATCAGCATGATCCATCAGTTCTAGACTTAGTATTCTCTCAGACAAATGATGTATGCTTCATCCGGCACCATGCACTTCCAGGTAAGAGTGATCATGCTGTGACCATCTTCGGACTCACGGCAGCCGTCTTTTACCACGTCGATGCCCCAGCTACACCGGATGCATGGAAGGCGAATATGGTAGCTACTAACTTGGGAGCCTGTACAGCCAATCCAGAAGCCTTAGTTGGGGCTGCATAGTGCTTCTTTACATAGTTATTTGCAGGAGTGACTAAACCGTTTATTTCGTGGACTTTCTCTAAAAGATGAAAACACTGTCCACTGAAGGTAAGCCACGGATTCCAGATCTCGCTACAACGTGAGAAAAAGTAGTTGAGTCTTGTCACTCACTTCGGGAGTACCAGGATGTTGAAGCACTACAAAGAAGCCCTAAATAAATCTGTTGCTGCCACCCATCGGTTTTGAATATGCTTTGAAATACATCTCGCTCAAGCTGCACTTCAACATCCGAAGAGGTTATTTTCTTATATGAACTGTAGAGAAAAGATGTATCTGGGTATACCCGTCATAATCGAAGGGATACAAAGTGACTGTTTAACTGCAAACAATAAGGAAAACGTGAAAGCTATGAATGGATGTTTTACTCAGCTATTTACACAGGAACCTTTCGATGAACACCGATTCAACAGTAGGAACACTGACGTCCAATAGAATAAACCTTGTGGACATCGACCGCAATGATGTGTTCAAGATATTAAGTACCACCGACGTAGAAAAATTAACGAGACCAGATGAGTTGCACTCAAGGCTGCTTGGAGAGCATGCACTACGCAGCCGGCTCATTGACTACCATATTTAGACTGTCCCCCAGTGAAGACGCACTCCCCTATGAATGGAAGGACGCTATAGTCACACCTATGTAGTTGACAGGTTCTAGACAGAACCCATCAAATTACGGACCGATAAGTTTAGCTATTACTCCAGTAAAAGTCCTAAAACGTGTAATCAAGAAAATGATAAAAGTTTGCGTAGAGAGTGACACTCCATTGTCTCGTCCTCAGCACGGCTTTCACAGAAATTTCTCTCATTTGACAAAGATATACGTCCACTTCAGAGAGACGTAACCAAACTGCCTACCTAGTCAGAGAAGTGGCTGATGCTTTTCAACGTAGGTAAATGTATGAGTATGTACATGGGACACAGATGATAATACATACGATATTGGTGGGACTCCCCTTCCCTTGGAACAGACCCACAATGACCTGGTTCTGGAGTGGATGAATCAGCTCCTGGAACCGACTCTCAGAAAAAGTGGTTTTCACGTCACCAAATGACTCCTTTAAAATATAAGCACAGAGACCTGCTGGAAAGTTATCAATATACGCAAACAGCCTTCTATCCTAAAACAACTAATCTGACTCTGGAAGCGTATGGTCACTTTTCTGTTTATCTCAAGTTTTCAACTGGTTACGCCGTCGTATCTTACGTTATCAATATTCTAACGGAAATTTTTCAATATTTAGCCTTACATATGCCTGATAAACTTCTCTAACTGGCTTCTTACCCTCAAATCCTCATATTAAAATCATGATTATAGTATGGGCCCCGACTTCGTACACGCAGACAAGTGTTTAGCTTTAACTAGAAAAAGCGAATCTTCGTATTTCTTTGTGAGGATATCACAGGAATTTTCTAAGAAATTGCCTGAAGGATTGTGTCTTTAAAGAATTCTCATATGCAACCTACAGATGTCACAAAAGTAGGCCATGTGGTAATTTACAGATCTGTTCTCTCTTTGAGGCACCTAACTCCCGATACTTCCTGTTTAATGTCTATGGTGAAGAAATTTGAGTGCTAATGATATACTTAAATCATTTACCCATATTTGACATAACTCTGCCCAGTACCAAATAAAACGAGTATATTTTGAGACTTACTGATAGTAAGTTAATTTATTTTCGGCGAATTATGCGAACACATCGTGAAGAAAATAAGGGGATACACATAGAAAGACCTTGAAGTTTGATTGTGAGTATGTAAACACTATCCAATATCCAATATCATTTCATGAGATAGATTCAGATTTAATGTTTGAGGATAGAAAGCTGACGGTCCATATTATTCCTTTTCCAGCAGATTTCTGTGCTTGTACAAACCCCTTTTAAACCAATCAATTGATGATGAGGACACCACTTCTTCTGGGAGTCGGTTCCAGGAGTTGATTCCTCGACACGAGAACCAGTACTCTGCGCAGACTATGTTCGTTCTCTGCTTTTATGGTCTCCTACCATGTTCCCTCAGGTGTTTCGACCTAGTGGGAAAGAAAAGAGAAGATAGATCAGGTCCTAAGTCATTTCTTAGAATCCTGTGCAGCATGATTGTGTAGCGTCACACACTTCCCCAAAATCAATAGCCTAGGGTTTGACGACTTCAACATTGATGCTGACCTTGATAGTTTAACTAGACCCGCTAAGCTGAAGACACCCGGTCAAGCATCCTCGCCGTTTGGAACTCTGTCGTGTTACGTTGCACTGCTCGTATTCGACTCTCTAGCCAGTTAGTTGGAACGCATCGGTATCTTGGCACAACCACCCATATATACTATTCCATCCGACTACGCTATTGTGTCCTTCCTTGGTCTCGTACTCGTGGGTATATAACAAGTCTGAATAATTAGTGATTGGTCTTTGCGTCTGTCAAGTTCGCACCAGGACAAATCCTAAATTGGTAAGCCCGACGTGATCACATATCCTGACCAATAACAAATATTGAATTGGTTAGCCTGTTCCACTTTATATTTGTTTATTGCTCTCATTTCGGTAACATTTATATATCCGTTTACTACACTTTCCCATGTCCGACCACACTCCCAAGCTTATTCGTATTAAGCCGACTACGAACACGACCCAACTCGTGCCATATTGGCCAGACAGTGCAGAAACATGGTTTCTGTATGCCGAGGCCGATTTACGAGAACAGGGTGTCTCAGATCCTCATTCTCGATTTCCTGCTGTCATACGTTCACTACCGCGAGAATTAAACAGGTATGTTACGGCGCACATGTTTGGTTCCGAAGTAAGTGATCCTTATTCACTTCTCAATGCCGCACTCTTGAAGAAAAGCGATCTCACAGATCGCCAGTGCCTAGACGAATTGCTTCGTAACATCGGGCTAGGCAGCCACTCAGCTACTGAAGTCCTCGCACGCATGCGAGAAGTAATCGGCGCACGAACATTTGAAGATGGCCTTTTCCGAGAACTATTTCTCTCGAAACTACCACAACCGGTGCAAACCTTGTTGGTGACACTGCAGCCAGTCCCACTGGATGACGTGGCAGCTTCGGCAGATAAAATACTGGAGAACTCTAGCAGACCTGTCTCAAACGTATATTCTGTCTGCGACAAACCAGAGAGCCAGGATTCACAGGTGACCAAGCTGTGCAACTCTGTGAAACAATCGCTACGATCTCGAAGTACTAGTTCACGTAGAACTCCACAGAAATGCATCTTGGTGCATCGCAGCAACTTGCGTGGCAACCCCAAAACGAAACCTAGCAGGGTGAAAAACCCCGAGTGGTGCTGGTTTCATAACACTTACGGAGACGAAGCCAGAAAATGTCGGAAACCATGCAGTTTTGACAAGGACACAAACTCGGGAAACGGTCACGCCGGCACGTGTTCACGGCAACCGTAGCCGGCGGAAACGGCCGTTTGCTCTACGTCACGGATATTCAAACGAAAGTTCGCTACCTCGTCGACACCGGCGTAGAAGTTAGCATTCTTCCGGCACCGACGAAGGAGCGTCATCATGACCCATCCTTCAACCTTCAAGCAACTAACGGCAAGGCAATCGCGACATTTGGGAGACAGTATGCCTACCTCAACTTACGTTTACGTAAACCTATTCACTGTGTTTTCCTCCTGGCTGACGTCTCTATGCCTATCATCGGCATAGACTTGCTAAACCATTACGAACCACTCGTAGATGCTCGCCGTCGACGACTGATAGATAACGACACAAAGTTATCTATTGACGGCACCACCTATGTAGGTCCGAGTTTAGCCACCGTTAGAACCAAACAATCGGGTGACGCGTCCTACCAGGCATTGTTGCAGAAATATCAAGAGTTGCGACAACCGAAGCACACTCTTCCGTGCATAACCAGCTATGTTATGCATCACGTCACAGCCACAGGTCCACCTGTGGCATCCAGAGCTCGGCGTCTAGCCATTGATGAGCTAAAAACGGAGGAGGGTGAATTCGAACACATGTTCGAATTGGGCATTGTCAAACCGTCAGACAGTCTTGGGCATCACCACTGCACATTGTTCCCGAAAAGGATGGCAACCACTGGCCTCCAACCAGTGATTACCGAAGGCTTAACGCCAAAACAACTCCGGACTGCTACCCGATACTTCATGTTTACGATTTGACTGCGACATTATGCGGAATGGACATTTTCTCCAAAATCCATTTGGTCAAAGCGTACAACCAGATACCTATGGCAGCAGAAGATATCGCGAAAACAGCCATTATTACTCCTTTTGGTCTGTTTGAATTCCTGCGCATGCCATTTGGTCTTCGGAATGCAGCACAAACATTACATCGCTTTATGGATGATGTTCATGTCTACATCGATGACTGTCTAATTGCGAGTCCAGATAAGGAAACTCACCTCAAACATTTGGACCTCGCATTCGAAAGACTTAAAAAACATGGCATCACAGTCAACTTACAGAAGTGTGAAATAGGAGTTGAATCACTCAGCTTCCTTGGGCATACCATTGACAACAAAGGTATACGCCCATTGAGAGATAAAGTGGCGGCTATCACAAACTATCCAGAGCCGACCACTGTGAAACATCTCCGCACTTTCAATGGCCTGGTAAGTTATTACCGAAGGTTTATCCCTAACTGTGCCTCTGTCATGAGACCACTCACAGATCTACTTCGAGGAACTACGAAGTTCGTGTCTCTGGACAACGTGGCTAGACTTGCTTTCTCTAAAGTCAAGGAAGCCATTTCGAACGCAACCATGCTTATGCATCATGACCCCAATGCTCCTTTGAGTATTGCTGTTGATGCATCTGATTCAGCAATTGGAGCAGTTTTGCAACAATTGACTGACAACCAGTGGCAACCGTTAGCCTTTTTCTCGAGGCGGCTGCAAGACGCGGAAACAAGATACAGTACATTTGGTAGGAAACTCCTAGGTATGTACTGTTCTGTACGCCACTTTCGACATTCGGTGGAAGGTCGTGATTTCATTATTTTCACAGACCACAAACCGTTAACCTTTCCCCTTAGCCCAGAGTCTGACAGATACTCCCCACTTGAGTCGCGACGGCTGGATTACATTTCCCAGTTCACGTCAGACATCCGTAGACGATGCACTATCACGAACAGCTTCGATAAATCATATTGAGGGCGTTCATCTCGTTGAACTAGCTTGGTGTCAAAAGGAAGACCCTGAGCTGCATCACGGGATGTCGTCCACAACTCTCAAACTGCGACTTTGTCCTGTTGGATCAGACAAGGATACAATTTTGTGCGATGTCTCTGCTAGTCAACCACGCCCAATAGTTCCGAAGACTTGTCGACGCAACGTCTTCAATACGTTGCACAAACTCTCTCATCCAGGTGTACGAGCCACCATTAGGCTTATCGCACAACGTTTCTGCTGGCCTGGGATGAACAAAGACGTTAAGGAGTGGGCTCAGTCGTGCTTGGCTTGTCAAAAGTGCAAAGTCACGCGACACACGATAAGCCCTTCAGGCTCTTTTCTAGCCCCAGACATGCGTTTCGACCACATCCACATACATATTGTAGGACTCCTACCAGAATCTAATGGATGCACTTACATTTTCACTTGTGTTGATTGTTTCAAACGATAGCCGGAAGCAGTACCTATTAAGGATATTTTCGTCGAAGGACGGATCGCGAACTTCGGATGTCCATCCTACGTCACAGCCCACCGTGGGCGCCAATTTGAGTGTGGAATATTTCACGCTCTAACTGCACTTTTAGGTTGCACCCGGTTCCGAACGACAGCCTACCATCCATAAGCAAATGGCATGGTAGAGCGTTTCCATAGACAGTCGGAAGCTTCTCTTTCAGCTGCAAACATACCTCAGTGGACCGAAGCTCTGCCTCTAGTCCCACTAGGTATTCGTAACGCGTTGAAAGTTGATGCTGGATGCACCCCTGCAGAACTCGTCTATGGGACCACTCTTAGCCTACCAGGTGAGTTTGTTTCCCCTTCAACTTTCAAACATCTTTCCGACAGGGCGTTGTACCTGACTAGGCTTAAAAACGCAATGCATTCAGTTAGGCCTTCTCCGGCTAGATGTCTTCGTTCACCCCAGTTTACAAAAGACATCATATGTGTTTATTCGCCGCGACGCCGTTCGTCGACCACTTGAACCACCCTATGACGGGCCGTTCAAAGTGATTAAGCGACATGAGAAATTCTACATAATTGAGCGAGACGGACATGAAGATACTGTCAGTGTCGACCGTTGGAAACCAGCTTATTTTGAAGGCAACCCCATTATAAGTGACGCTTCAGCTCGCTACAGCCGACCGAGGGATAGCTCAGTTATCGGAATTCTTGACGATGTGCCCGGTAATGCATAGTTGCAACAACCATCGGCGCAACAGAAAGCACGATCAGGTCGAACCGTCAGGTTCCCGGAGTATCTGAAGTCGTATTCAACTTAGCGGTGTGAAATAAAATGTGCCAACCATATTCTTTTACTTACAAATTTTTTTCTGAGGCACTATTTTTCTTATTTACTAGCAATGCGCAAACCCTCATACACTTCGTTTTTTTATATCGATTTTAATAACCATGTAATGAAACTAAAAAAACGGTGAAAATAAACGTGAATTTTATTTTTCGATGTGTTTATACATAAATAATTCCCATTTTTAGGAAACGTTTTCATGGCATTAAAGGCTTTTATTTATATTCCAGGTGCAACGAGCACTGGACGGAACGTCAAAAGGAACTGAGGACTCTGATCGAC